GAAATGTGGGCCGAACCCGGAAATGTGGGCCGAACCCGGAAATGTGGACCGAATCCGGAAATGTGGACCGAATCCGGAAATGTGGACAGAACCCGGAAATGTGGGCCGAACCCGGAAATGTGGGCAGAACCTGAAAATGTGGGCCGAACCCAGAAATGTGGGCCGAACCCGGAAATGTGGGCAGAACCCGGAAATGTGGGCAGAACCTGGAAATGTGGGCCGTACCCAGAAATGTGGGCCGAACCCAGAAATGTGGGTCGATGTTGTGCCAAAAATCCATATTAATTGACTGGCTGCCAAATGGCAGCTGCAGAAGCATGCACGGGAGGATTTTAACAAGAATTTAACAAGATTAACACTTAAAAACAATTATTTATTTGCTCAAAATTATAGTTAAGGTGTGTCTTAGTCTAACTTTTCATTAATAAATACACTTTGATGGTCAAATTAGCTGCATTTCGCCAGGAAGGTGAAGCGAAATGAAGCTGATTTGACGGTTGCTCCAGGTAAGCTGGACAAAGGTGGCTCTATAGCAAGCAGATTGTGTCATCAATAGCCACTTTTACCTATTACATGACTCAACGGCATGCCATACCCTCAAGTGCCATCTAGTGGCTGAAAATGGTAGTGTTCAATATTTTCAGTCAGAATGAATGCAAACAGTCATATCTCAATCAAAAACTGGTTTAAAAATATGAGGAAAAAAATCCATAAATAAGTCGCTTCGGCGTATAAGTCGCAGGGCATGCAATTATGCACAAAACTGTGACTTATAGGCCAAAAAATACGGTAGAAAGTAAAGTGGCAAAAATGGCTCTTTTTATCTCAACAGACCCTTGCTCTAGAGGAATGTATATCACCCGCCACCTCACATGCCAGAGTTTTAAACAAAAATATATATTATGATGAGCATGTCTTGAAGACGACTCTCAGCTTTTACCAAGTTTTAGCTCAACTTCTGTAAAACTGATTGTTTTAGCCATTTTGTGTTAGCTGCCACAGCTGTGGCAGCCATCTTGGTTTGTAAATGTACATCCAGTGATTACTCTCTGAGAGTTTCAATAAAATCTGTCACAGACACAAGTCATTTTCCCTTCACTTTTGGCAGCAGGCATTAACAAACAAGCATGCTAAACTCCTCCATCGAGGACGTTCAGAAGAAGGAGCTGTACGTGGCATTTAAGTTCAAGGCCTATAACGAGGAGGAACGGTGCTGAAATGTCAGCTGTGTTTTGAAGTGGCACACATGCTGATGTGATGACCTCTTTGTGCTGCGGTTAAAAGGCTCGGCAGCAAGAAAAATCAGCCGAAGGTATCGGCTTTTTTCTGAGCGACAGGACAGGACATTTTAAAGATCACTGTCAGTCCAGTAAAGAGACGGGTTTTCTTAAGAAAGACATTTTGATCAGTAAAAAAACTGAACTAAAAAACTGAACACACAACAAATCATTGAAAAAAAATGCAAAGTCACCGTTTCATGTTTGACAAAATGTTGTGAACATTTGTTGCACATTTATCACCAACTAAAATAACAGCTGAGAGTCCTTCCCTACACATCCCCCGATCTCTAAATGGTCACATAAAATCTGAAAGTGACACTTTACAATTACCTATTAGAATCAGCCGTGTCTGTCTGTTAGCAAAATATTTTTAGAGCTAATGAACAATTATTGTTGAAACTTTCAGAAAGTAATTAGCAAGTTTTATTGCTTCTTTAAAACAAGGCAAAACGTGTTAATGAACATTTACGTGCAAATACATGAAATTATAGATGGGCGGGG